ACAAAGCTTTTTCCCAACAGACGATTTTCAGGAGTTCGCTGAGATGTGTTTTTAAATGGGGTAAGCATTAAATTTTATATATTTAACCAAGGTCTGATTATTTATAGTTCTGGAAACATTTAATTTATTATTGACATTATCATCATCTTTCATTTTAGTCCTACAATGATTATGTGAGGGAATTTCATAACATGGGACCACCACCTCCTTGGCAAGGAATGGTTTGTATTATTCTATTTTTATAATTAACTTCATTTTACAGCTCCTACTTTTTAAAATGAGTACTTGGAATATGATGGATACAGTCATCCATTAAGAGACATAAAATACAATTTTTTGGTGATAAGTAATTGCTCTGTTTTTTTAACGAAAGATTTCAGGGCCAGATGTGGTGGTGCACACCTTTGATCCCAGCATTCAGGAGGCAGAGGCAGGTGATCTGTGAGTCCAAGGCCAGCCTAGTCTACATTAGTGAGTTCCAGGTTAGCTGGGGCTACAGGGAGACCCTGTCTAAAAAAGAAAAAAAAAAAAAAAAACCCGAGATTTCAGAAGATTCATTTATGGCAGTAGACAAAAGCATATGACACTGGTTCAGATATATTCCCTTTTCTTTTCAACTCTTTGACCTTGAACAAGTTTTAAAATAATTATTTGGTTTCTTCATAAAATTCAGTAAACATTCATTCTTTGGCTCATCAGACAAATATTTACTACTTTGTGTAAGGTCATGTTCTTCCTTATGTTGATGAATGAAATGAGCATAATAGGTAGTACCAACCTTGTAGGATTATGTCGAAGATATTTAGTAAACTTAGCCCCCCATTTAAAAAAAGATTTAGTTAAAAAGCACAGGACTGGAGAGATGGCTCAGCCAGTGGTTAAGAGCACTGACTACTCTTGTAGAGGACCCGGGTTTGAGTCCTAGCACCCACATGGTAGCTAAAAACCATTCATAACCCCAGTTACAAGGGGTTTCAATGCCCTCTTCCCTCGCTCCACTGGCATTACACGACACAAGTGCACTTACATACATGCAGGCAGTACACTCATACACATAAAATAATGAATAAAATGTTGTTTTCTAAACAAAGCACATGTCTTTAATCCCAGCACTTTTGAGACAGATGCAAGTGGATCTCTGTAAGATTGAAGCCAGATTGGTCTATGTAGTAAATTCTAAGTCAGCTAAATTAAATCCTCTTTGACTTTTCCTGTTTTTATGAAAATGTGATAGTCTTCTTAAAAGATTTGGAGATAGCTACGAATGCCCTGAAGCATACTTTCCAAGCAATAAAACTTCATACTTGAAAGACTTCTGTGTTTTCTATCATTTTTATTTATTTTAAATGATGCTTAGTGAATTTATTAATTTATTTTTGAGCCAGGGTCTCCCTGTACCGATAGATAGCTGGAACTTGCTATATAGACCAGGCTGGCCTCAATTTCATGAGATCTACCTGTCTTGCCTCCTGAGTGCTGAGATTAAAGGCATGTACTATACCACCTGGCTGGTGATCTCTTTAAAAAAATTTTTTTGACTAGTTCATTGAGAATTTAATGCAATGTGTTTTGATGTGTTACTCCGTTCCCCCTTCCCTACCCACCTGACTTCATGTTTTATTTTTTGGTCTTTTTGAGACAGGAACTCCATATAGCCCACCTGGCCTGGCACTCACTATGTAGACGTAGACCAGGCTGGCCTTGATCTCACAGAGATCTGCCTGCCTCTGGACAGAGTGCTGGGACTAAAGCCTGTGGTCTTTTTTTTTTTTTTTTTTTTTCCCCAATCCACTTAGTTCAATTTGTGTTGCCCTTACCTGTTTAACTTAAAGTATACATTTTCACACTACCTTATACATACTGATGAATTAAAAAATTCTTGCCTTTTGAATCTGAAATACTATAGTAACTTGATACTGTGAAAATCTTGATGATGTGCCTTTTATTCATTTTATAATACAGCATTTTAAAGGTTCATTAGCTCCTGAACTTTATTTTTGAGAGATTTGTGGACAGTGGTTAAGTTGTTCTGGAGCCCAGGATACTTTTGTTGTATCCCAGCTGCACTCTTTTTGTGTAATGAGACTAGGTCAGTTATTTACCCTTTTGATGTCTTAGTTTTCCTCTTTGTGACCTAGGAATAACAGTATCTACCATGTAGATTTGCTCTATTAAATGACAGATAAGTATAAAAGTGTGCAAGGATAGTGCTTTGCTCTTAGTAAGCACCACATGTTATCTTTGTTAGAATTAAACTGTGTGGGTAGCAGAGTATAAGCATGTTAGATTTTAGATTAACAAAAGGACTCTTTTGAGAAGTCTTAGTGCTTTCAAAGTAAAGCATTAAGTGGTAAAGGTGAAATTGTTTGGGATTGGTGATTTGGGTATAGCAGTTTTAAGAATGGCTTGTTTCCAAGGATATTTGGTAGATTTTTATGGAGTTGGTTTTCCTTTTTTAGCCTCCTTATCCTGGAATGGAACAGCCTCCACACCATCCTTACTACCAGCACCATGCTCCACCTCCTCAAGCCCATCCCCCTTACTCAGGACACCATCCCGTACCACATGAAGCAAGATACAGAGATAAACGAGTAGTAAGTGCACAAGAAGGCAGAGGTGTGAGGGAACTGCTTAGAATTCTGTAGGTAATTTACATATGGGTGTATAGTAGAGTATTTTGATGGTGAACTATTCGTATTCTTACTATAGACTAATTTTTGAGTAATTCTTAACATCATTTTCATTAAAAGTGGCTGGTCATGTCCTTTTGATTACTTAGATTTATATATTTCTTTCACTGATCAAGCCTTAGATTGCTTGTGTTGAACCACATCATATATATAGAACTCATAGTATAGATGTTGCACCTACAATATTCTTCTGTACTGAGGTCTGAATTATATCTATGTAATTTGAATTGCAAGTATGTATTTTTCTAGACGATATATACTGACTCAATTTTTAAAGAGTGCATGGCAATATATTAAGCTGGCTATTAATTAAATTTTACATTTTATAGGCAAGATGTATGTAGTTTAGAATGATTGTTGAAGGCAAATGATGCAAGTTGT